TTCTTTTTTTGTAAGTTGGTCTGAAGCCATAATTTAGATTTTTGCCACTGATTGGGGATGCCTGTCTGATAAAATCACAGCAGAGTTAACACACCTCATTTTGGAACTTACGTTTTATTTTTTTTAAAGATTTTATTTATTCATGATAGATACGCAGAGAGAGGCAGAGACACAGGCAGAGAAGCAGGCCCCTTGCAGGGAGCCCGATGTGGATCCCAGACCTCGGGATCACGCCCTGAACCAAAAGCAGACGCTCAACCGCTAAGGCACCCAGGCGTCCCCCCTCCCCCAACTCTTTAACTGATGCAGGCTTCTAATATTTCACCCAAAGGATGCCAACGATGAGTACAGAGGTGCCTCCAGGAGGAAGACAGGGAGCACTTGCAAATAAGGCCTTTGGAATCAGGCTGACCTGGCTTCTCATCTCCTCTGATTGTGACCTGGGACAAACACTCCACCTTTCCAAACCTCAACATGTCCCTTGTAAAATGGGTAAAAATTTATAAGAATCAGTATGTGAAAAAAAGTAGCTCTTCCCCAGGTGGTGAAATTACTACTTTCATTCTCTGTATTTCCAAATTATATACAATGATCGTGCATTTTTAATAATTAGGGGGAAAATACCAATTTTTAAAATTCCTAAGTTCAAGAGTTCAGATACCAAAAGTTGACCTGTCAAAAGCATGATTCTAGCCACCTATGGTGATGGGTTTCTCTTAATGACACAATTCATTTTTTTAAAAAGATTTTTATTCATGAGACACAGAGAGACAGAGACAGGCAGAGAGAGGAGCAGTCTCCATGCAGGGAGCCCGATGTGGGACTCGATTCCAGGACCCCAGGACCGTGCCCTGAGTCAAAGGCAGATGCTCAATCACTGAGCCACCCAGGCGTCCCTAATTCAACACCTTACTCTAATCCTCACCAGCCAGTGGATGGGTGCTGGTACCCTTTTTACCTCTGGTTACAGAAAAGAAACAAGAGGCTTAGAGAATTTTAATATTCCTGTTCTGACCTCAAACTGAATGAGACCTGCAACAGTTGTTTTTGGCTGGAGCAGCTTCTACCAGGAGCTCCAGAGTGGTGCCAAGAAGCCGCAGGAATGGTGTCTAAGAGGAATGGAGAGACTTGGGTCAGGCCGGGGGGGCGGTTGGCTACAGCCCCTCCCTCCACGGGCTCAGGCATTCTGGGAGAAGGGGCCTGGTGTGGCCGGGCCCAGGGGAGCAGCAACCTTCTAGAGCAAGCTGGCTGCAGGTGAGGTGGTGCTCACGGAGGGGCTGCAGGTCTCTTGGAAGCACCTGAGGACTTTCAGTGGCGGCGAGCTCCTGCCTGGGTCCCGCCTTGGCTCTGAGGCTTCCTTCTGCCGACCACTGGCTCATCTCAAGGTCCAACTTGGTCCCTGCCCTGGACTAGGGCAGAACCCTGTTCCCTCCCTGGGCCTTTGTGGCAGGCTCCACACTTCAGGTGGTGGTCTCTGAACTGCCGGCCCCCTGGCTTCTCTTGGGAAGACAGTCCACAACCTCTACCCCCACGGCAGGTGCATCCCCAAGGCCCTCCCCGCGCTGCAGTCATGCATGGCTGCGGCCTTCTCAGCAGGCTGGCGCCCTGCACTCAGAAGGGGTTCAGGTGAATGAATCCAGGCCTCGCCCCAAACACCACCCTTGGGAGTTGAGGCCAGGGCGAGAGGAGGAAGGCTTCTAAAGGCCCCAGAGTAAACCTGTTCCCTGGGGAGAGGTCGGGAAGGGCTCAGGAGCCAGCAGGCCTGTGTCTGAACCCCAGCCCTGCGGCTAAGTGGCGGCCGGAACCCTAGCAGATCAGCTGTCCGCGTCACACCTCTGAACAGGGACGGTGTCGGAGCTGCTGTGGAGAGGAATGAGCCCAGTCGCACATCTGAGCCAGGCCTGGTGCGGGTGAGGCAGCCAAGCCCCAGGACACAGCTGCTGTCCAGCACGGCCAACCTCATGGGCCACAGCCTCTCGCAGTAGACCAGGGCTGCCAGGGGATCCCCTTGTGAGAAAGATGGGAGCCCTGTGCCAGGGGCCCAAGACCCGGGTGCAAACACCCTGACCGGAGCTGTGCGGTCTCTGGGGAGGATAGGCCAGGAGACCCGTCACGGAGCGGAGGGTACTGAGTTCCCCAGCATGGGCCTAGGCCTCCTGATGCAGGAGGGGCAGCAGCGCTTGGGCGCACAGTGGAGGAACAGGGACTCCCCAGGGGGACCAGGGGACAGAAGAGGTGGCAGCAGCCCTCAGGGCTCCATGTGGAACCTTCGGGCTGGGACTCAGCAGGCTTCTCCCTGGGCCTCCAGCACTCAGCCCCAACAGCTGGCACAACAGGCACCGGTGACACACGTGACCCCTCGAACCACTCCGTGCTCACAGCCACCATTGTGGGGCAGCAGAGCTGGGGGTAGGGGTGGGGGGCACACGGCCCACGGTCATCACAGGTGCTGGGGGGCTGCCCAGGCCCGGAGCAGGTTCCCAGGAGAGTGAGCAGCCCAGCGGCTGGGGGGAGCTGGGCAGCGGGATGGGTGGCGGCCAGCCTAGCAGACACAGGGTCCCCAAGTGGGAGGTCCCTTCAGCTTGCAAGGGGCACGCTCAACTCCCAAATCCCTCCACCAAATTAACATAACCACCTTTTTTATTTAACTGGGCAAAACCAGTGGGTTTTAAAATAACGCGACACTCAAAGTCACATTTGCCATACTCAGAAGGTGAGAACTTCAATTTCACACCAAACTGCAGCGAACATAAGTAACAATTTTACATGACTTTTATTTAATAAAATCACGTATTTACAATTCAAAAAGTCCTAATCTGATAGACTTTACTAAATAAAATTAAAGGTTAACTGTACAGGCAATTAAAACATGATATGTAGCAAGTATTACCAGGAAGTTTCTATCAGCAAACTATTCAAAATAGTCAAAAACTGAGCAGTTAAAAAGTACCTTTGAAAGTGAACATTGTTTCTAGATGGGCTTTCAGGGGCTGGTGGGGACATGCCTTTGACTAAAGTGCCGATGCACAAGGTCCCGACCCCGAAGTCTGGGAGTCTGACAGTCGGTGGCGTGGGACAGGGGGCGGAAAGTGCAGACCTTAGGGGACACGGCCTTTCGGTTTGCTCCCCCATTTTCCTAAATGATAGCACGAGCCCAAAAGAGGTCGAGCCCAACAGAGGTCGTAACAGAGCAGCACTACCCTGTGCCCTTGGTAGCCCCCCCACGGAAAGGGGCCACACGACCCCAACGCCCGACCGCTGAGGCGGACACAGCAAACCGGCAGGACCCCATGCGTTCCCTGAACATCAGGTCACGCGAACCTCTTGTGAACCAGAGATTTGGTAAATGTTCCAGATTGGCACGGAATCCTGTTTAAAAATTTAATGCATACGTGGTGACGTAAATCCCCAGAGACTTATGTCAAACTGTCCGACAGAAGTGTTAAGGGCTGGGTTTTGAACGTGCGTGACATGCCACGAACGCGGCCCTGGCGGCGTTGCTTCCTGTCCCGACTTAAGAACATCTGTATGTACAGTAAGAAAATATATACACCTTTCAGAACAGAAAGCCTACGTCCAGAAGGACGCTCGGCACGCGTGGGAGGAAGGGCCATGCCCGGGCTCGGCGGGGTGACATTCGGCATGTGGTGGCTGCATGGCAGCGCCTGGATGCGCCAGCCCTCGGTGAAGACGGGATGCCTCCTCCGAGAAGCCAGGAGGGTTGGCGCTTACGGGCTGAGGCAGAACGTGGATCTGAGATGCTCTGCAACCTCCCTGGAAAACTCAGTGGAGAAGACCGGGTGGGGGCAGGGGCGGGGTGACGACACACAAAAGGCCACTCCAGAAAACAGGATGCACGGCCGTGGTGGACAGAGAAAACCTAGAAGAGCAAGCCCACAGACAGGCCCCGACCCCACCCTGCGGGCGCTCCACACATCAACACCCAGAGTGAGTGTCCGGGGGACCCCCCACCCCTGGGGAGGGTGCAGCCAAGGGGTCTCCCGAGCACTCACGGAGACCCACACACGGACAGAGCGGCGCGTGCAAGCAGGTTTCCAGAGTCGCCTGTCCTGGGGGCTCTCCGCTGTGAAACCTATTCATGTCTCCAAATCCGCATGACCAAAGCACTTACAACACAATTGTTAAAGTTAGTCAAGGAAAAATTTGAACAAGAAGGTTGTTGAACCTGGGGGAAAACCAGCTAAAATGGAGAGAGGCCGACAGGACAAACAGTGGGGGCCGACAAGGCTGTCTGTGCGCTGGACTGTGCGGCCCGCTCCTCAGCCCTCACGACAGTCTGCCTGTAAACCAGATGCGTGAGGAGGGAAGCACTGGTTCTCAGGACTAGTCCTGCTATTCGGGTGACAGAGGGGAGAGCAGCATTCGGTGAGAGCAAGGGCACAGGCTGCTCCCGCCGCCCCAGCCTCGGCAGACAGGACGTGCAGGGGTCTGAGCCCGTCTCCTGTCTCGGGCCTCGGGTGCAAGCAGCTTTTCCTGTTCAGGAGACAGAGGGCGCAATCTCAGGGGGCAGAGCAGGGATCCCCCGGAACCTACGTGGCCATTCTCAGCCCTCATGCTGTGATTCTGTCAAGGAGACCATGAGAAAGGCCCACCGAAGGTCGCGTGGAATCCCAAGGAGCCCCGAGCACTCTGAGTGACCGCCCGGTGGGAGCCCATCTCCCGTTCATGCTATCTTTGGTAGGTGGGCTTTAAACACGGGACCTCCAGCCCCAGGAAGATTCTCTCAGTAACTAAATCAAGCACTCCTTCCTCACTCAAGTATGTCAATGGGCCAGTACGCCTCCAAGGCCTCCTAGGTAGCATTTCTCACGCACCCTGGCTAAGGAAGACTGTAATGTACTTTTCATCAGTTGACATAAAAGCATGACAATTTAATTAATTTTTGTGAAAGGGGGAGGAGGATTAGCCACGGCCTTCGTTTTACACCATGCAGACTATGCAGTGTTGGCCGTGGTCAACACCAGCTCATCGTTCCACTGAGCTTCTTAAGGCTAAGCCTTGGTTTAATTCTTTAAAGTTGTTTGTTTTGTTTAAGGCCAACTCCAGTGTTTGGATCAAACATGAAAAGAGCCCATTCCTCTCCACGGTCCGTGTGCCTGCCTGAAACAACGCAGGTGCCACCTGGAGATCTGCTTGCTTCGGGGCCGAGCGCGAGTCTGCCGGTCGTCTCAGTGTCGGAGAGACGGGCTTCCTTTCTCCGTGTCCCGACTGTCTTTCTGCAGTGCGGTCAATACCTGGGGATCATAGAGGAGACGTCCGTGGGTGATCTGCAAACACACTGAACACAGGCCTTGCCAGGCATGGTGACAGGATGCGCAGCCTCCTGGCTGGTCTCTGCCCCCCGCCCCCACTTCTGCTGTTCCCCTGTTCCACCTCTCACACCTACAGCCAGAGCCCTCCTCCTAACGTGGAAATCCAACCGTGCCATCTGTGGCCTAATGTCCCACAACCATGTCCCACTGGCTGCTGTAGAGGCATCAGCACATGGCTGCAAGGCTCTCCTTCCTCAATCTGGCTCCAGCCCCTGTGCTCACCACCACCCAAGCCAGGCTACCCACTCCCAGACAGACGCTGACAAGTGCCCCTGGGCCTTTCCACACAGCTTCTCCCCTGCCTGCCTCTCCTTTTCACCAGCAAACCATGTGTACTTTTAAGACTAACAAACGTGGGCTCTTCTCGAGCCCTCCTGGGCCTTCCAAGAGTGACTGAGTTCCCAACTCTGCTTTCCCAGCTCCTGGCTAACAGTTTTACTTTAAAGACACATCCTCCTCTGACCACTTAAGAACAGGAATGGTGCTAACACGGGCTCTGTTTACTGAACACACAAGAGGGGCACCTCTCCAGGGACCTCATGCACAGCACTTGTCAGCGCACACAAGCTGAGGATGGTTAACACCTCACAGTTAGGCACCTGAGCCACGGACATTTACAGGAGTGGCTGCTCTAACAGCCCGGATGCATTCAGACCTAGGCTGGGTAGAACACAAAACCAAGCAGTAACCTACCAGGTTACCACTATGTCACTTTAACTGAATTACAAATTAGGAAGGGTGAAGAGAAAACACTTTATGTAGGTTTCAGATAAATCGCACAGAAGGGAAGTCCCCTCTCTACCCCTAAGTCAACGGGACTGCTAGGCAAACATACACACTTACTTACCTTGTAAAGCTCTTCAGGGTCTTGACCTAAAGCAGAGCATTTAAGGGGAATGTGTACAGACCACAAGTCTCATGGAGCCTAGCACCGTATAAACTCCTTGAAGCCCACCCTCGCCCCCACCTCCACCCCCACACTCAGGCTTACTCCCATCATGATCCTGTGATCAGAAAATGCCCTTTGATCCAATAACTGCTGAGCTGGTTTTTTTAATTAATTAATTAATTAATTTTTTATTTATTTATTCATGAAAGATACAGAGAGAGAGGCAGAAACCTAGGCAGAGGGAGAAGCAGGCTCCATGCAGGAAGCCCGATGTGGGACTCAATCATGGGACTCGATCCTGGAACTCCAGGATCAAGCCCTGTGTCAAAGACACATGCTTAACCGCTGAGCAACCCAGGCGTCCCTCTGAGCTGGTTTTAACCAAACCTTTTATCTTGTCCCTAAAACACAAGGGAAACAACAGGCCTGGGTTTACCCCTGCCCTGAGTGCCTGCGTGGGGGACATGTGGGGTGGGAAGACCAGCGACAAGGAGAGGCAGGTCAGCGGACAGGAGACCACACATGAAATCACGGTGGTAACCAAGCTACGTGTGGTACAAAGGCTGTCAGGAAAGGCCGTGGCCCTGCAGCGACTTCAGAAAATCCCCCCTAAGCAAGTGAATCATGGAACTCACAGCACGCCCTCGCACACAGGCAAACTTCAGAGGCATGCCACCCCAGGCAGTCACCTTCTTGAAACTCTTAGTAATTCTGGACAGTGGGTCCTGGATTTTCATCTTGTATTGTCCATTGGTTTCTCAACCAGAGAAAGGCTCTTTCTCCCTCTTGCCAGATCTCTAATAGTTATATAGCCATTCCTATTTACACATGGACTGAATTTTTTAAGTTTTATTAAGATAGAACTCCTTACCATATAATTTGTCCATTTAGAGTGTACAGTTCAGTGGATTTTAGTGTATGCATCGATGTGAGCTACATTACCATGGTCTGTTTCAGAGCACCTTCACGCTTCGAGAAGAACCCTGTAACCTGTAGCTCCACCCTCCCTCCTGGCCCCATCTCGCCCACGGCCTGACAACCATTTGCTGACCTCCTGTCTCAAAAGATAACCCTGTTCTGGACTTGCCTACAGATGGAATCACAGAGCACATGGTCTTTAGTGTCTGGCTTTGTTACTTCACAGGGTGTTCCCAAGGGTCATCTGTGTTGTAGTATGTGTCGGGATGTCATTCCCTTTTATCAACAGAATGTATTTTTAATATTTCAGAAATGCAAATCCTATCACCCAAGCACAAAACAGTGCCTCTTCTCCCTATCCTAGTATTACCCAAGGTCCCAGACAGCAGCCGTGCTTCTTCCCCAAAGACCCAGACAGGGAGGGAGTCGGCCAGCCAGAGAGAGCACCATGGAACAGGACAGGAAGGGCCAGCCCCAGGGCCAGGATAAAGGGCTCAGGTGAGTGAGGACTCTCTGGTTCATGAATGCACTGAACTGGACATGCTATGTAAATTACATCTCAATAAAGCTGCTACTGTGATAAAAATGGAGAGGCTGCGAGAGAGATACAGCCTAATGGCCTATGAAGTACTCATATCTAACAGTCACCTTACGGGAAACAAAGTTTTGGAGACCACATTAACACCACCACCAGGATATAACCACAAGATCCAGACTCAGGAGACGCTGTAGGACAAAGAACTGTGTCTTCAATAAATAGAGAACAAGGGATACAAGGAGAGATCAAGTGATCTATATATTTAAAAGAGACTAAAAGGATCTTTCCATTAACGACAGTGTGAACCTTATTTGGATCTTGATTCAAACAAACTATAAAGCCACTGACACTTGAGACAAGTTTGAAACCACCTGCATATTTGACAAGGGCATGGGGTCTGTTATCTATTTTACTCTATAGTAGTATGATTTAAACTCTCTCACTAATAAAAAAGGTCGGCAAGGGATAAGCTATTTAGCATATACAGGAGAGTATAAGCCTCCATGGTCTCCAACCATGACCTGATGCCAGACAAGCTCTGAGCCTAAACGGGGTCACAAAGCAAGCCTTGATTTTTGCTTTTTTTTTGTACCACAAAGACTTGGAACCAGAAACACTGGCCAATCCCACAGGGGACAAACCCTAGGCAGGACATCCAGAGGAGATGAAAAGAATCTAGAAGAAGCAGGCCCAGGCTAGACTCACTCCCACACCATCAGCTGGGCTGCTGCTACCCTGACTTAGCCAGCAGAGGGCCAGCCCAACATTTCCCTGGGAAAGCCTTCCTCCAGCCCTCCAGCGACCTCCCTCCGTGGGTCTACTTTATCAGTGATGGGGGACAATCTCCCCACCCTGCCCCAGGGCAAGCAGGGGGCAGGGAGGGGTGCTTAGTCTACAAAACACCTTCTGACCTGTGGACAGCACAGGGATGGCAAGTGAGAAACCCTGACCTCCCAATGCCACTGCAGGATGGGTGGGGAGGCTTCTGTTACCCTCCCTCCATCTAAGGGACACTCAGAGAAGGAAGGACTGCCCAAGACTGCGTGCCAGAGCCAAGCCTCAAACCCAGGCTCCTGGCTCCCAGTCCAAGAAGGACTTTATTTAGAGAGGGCTCTTTTCTCAAAAGCCACTTGGAGAACTAATTCTCAGTCATGCTACCAAGCCAGGCCACTCCACAGGGAAAGAGGGAACAAAAGATCCATTTACCTGAGCCCACTTCCGGTTTCGACTCTGCATCTGAATGGTTGCTATGGAAGCAAACACCTCCTCTGCAGGCAGGTCCTCTGGGAGCCTTGTCAGGAACTGGGCTATGTGAATGAAGTCCATCTTGGTCAGGATGTCCTCAAACAGCTTCAGGATGCCCAGGGCCGTCCGGAACAGAAACCCTTCCCCATCACGACAGAACACATCCCATATGCGACAGGCCAGATCAAGGGGCAAAGACTTACTATACAAGGTAAAAATCCTGGAAAAAAAGTTTGAGTTTTTCAGGTTTGGGATGGCACAAAGAGCTCTGAATTCAGGTGTAATCCAGAAAAATGCTCTTAGTTACTTTCATACTTAAGACACACAGGTTGGGGGGTGGGTTGGGGGGTGGGCAGGCAGGAAGCCTGCATTCATTCTGAAGGCCAATTTTATAAAAAGGCATTATCAGCTTTCACACAGAATCCCAAACACTGTGCAATTTCTGAGTTGCTGATTCTGTTTACATCCATATGCAACAAATATTTACCGAGACTCTACCATGTGCTTACGCTGTAGTAGGTGTGGGACACAAGGTTAATAAGGCGGACAAAAAATTTAAATAAAATAAATAAAATAAATAAAATAAAATAAAATAAAATAAAATAAAATAAAATAAAATAAAATAAAATAAATAAAATAAAATAAAATAAAATAAAAAATAATAAAATAAAATAAAATAAAATAAAATAAAATAAAATAAATAAATAAAATAAATAAATAAAATAAAATAAAATAAAATAAAATAAATAAAATAAATAAAATAAAATAAAAAATAAAATAAAATAAAATAAAATAAAATAAAAAATAAAATAAAAAATAAAATAAAATAAAATAAAAAATAAAATAATAAAATAAATAAAATAAAATAAATAAAATAAATAATAAAATAAAATAAAATAAATAATAAAATTAAATTAAATTAAATTAAATTAAAATAAGGCGGACAGACCTTAGAGTCTGAGAGGAATAAAAACAGTCAACAGAATGTACTCAGTGTACGCAGGTACACCTCACTTCTAAAGAGTACAGCATACTTTTCTCCCACAATGGGTCTGCAAAGGAACAAAGCAAAACTGTCCAAATAAATGTGAATGTAGATTATAAGAAACTGATCTATTTAACAATGCAATCAGATGAAAAAATGAAATGCGGATATGCACTATCTTAAAATGTGATAATCAGCATCCAAACTACCAAACGAACACAATCTTGGGTGATTGAGTATATCAGCAGGTTTAAGCATTTTTTTTAAGATTTTATTTATTTATTCATGAGAGACACAGAGAAAAAGAGGCAGAGACACAGGGAGAGGGAGAAGTAGGCTCCATGCAGGGAGCCCGATGTGGGACTTAATCCAGGGACTCCAGGATCACACTCTGAGCCAAAGGCAGATGCCTAACCGCTGAGCCACCCAGGCATCTCCAGGTTTAAGCATTTCTAATCTGGAACGTGCCTGTGTCACAAAGTGAGGCAAAGCCAGGCTGGGACAAAGGCCAAACTAATTCTCTGTGAACCCATGCTCCTTCCTCGACTGTGAAGCACAGCCTGGATGCCGTCCTCAGGGTGTCTGCTGACCCCCAGACCCGCCAGATGCTCCCTCTGCCCCTGGTGCTGATCATAACGTGTGTTTGCTCTGGTCCTCCCCATGGAGATGCTCCAGAGCAGGGACCCTGGCCAACTCCTTCCACCACAGCATCCAGCACAATACCTGGTATCTCTGCCGAGGAAGTAGATGGGTGGACACGCTGCCACTTGGCTCTAGGTGTCCTAGATGTTAGTGGCTCTCACCATGTCCTCACTAGTGGCAGTGCTCACTAGAAGTGGGGCTTCTCCATTGCTGGGGGACATCCCCATCCCTCCTGGAGGAAGAACACCCATCCACAGTTTCACTACTACCCTAGTGCTTGCACCAGCCCTAGGGACACATGGGGCCTGTGAAGGCACCTGGACTCAGACGATGGACTCTGATGCTGGGGCTGGACTGGGTCAGGAGGTAATGTCATCCAACCTTCAACAAACAGCAGGACTCCCAGCTTAGCAGGACTCCCAGCTTCCTGTAATAGATGCCACCATACTGGGCAATGTGCTCACGAGGCTCCTGTCTGCACTGAACTCCAGACTCTCACCTGGCAGTGTGCTCCGTCCCAAAAACAGCCTTTCCGCCAGGACCCAGAGGGACATTTAACACAATCAAAAGCACATGTTCAACACAGCATGCTAGTTAAGACCCCAAGACATGCAAGGCTATCAAACTCCAGTAAGACACTTAAGGAAGGCAAACCAGTTTAGATTTCATTCAACTCAGGTGATGAAGTAGCGAGACAAATGCCAAAACCCCTGTCATAAAAACAACAGCTGACCTTAAACTGAGGCCCCACTATGTGCTGCGTACCACACGGGGCACACCAGGAGCACACCTAATTCAATAGCTAGGACCACTTTGGGAGGCGAGTTCTCTTCACTCACCTTACCTGAGGGAATGGAGTCCCCGGTGCTGCCACCCATACGTTACTGACAATATATAAAACATGAAAAAGAACTAACCAGCCCATGATGCTATCTCCCACCTGCCAGCTCATCCATGGAAAGCAAACCCTTAACCTCTTAAAAGCAGAGTCTCACGTAAAAAACAATCAGAAAACAGACAAAGCTATAGCAAAGGAGAGAGAAACAAGAGAAATGGCGGTGATGTGAAACTCTCGGGTTCAGTTTCACGTATGCATCTCCACAAATTACTTCAGACGTCCTGAACTCTGTAAAGTTAAAAACGCCAGTCAATGCCTACCACGCACCCCTGCTCCATCCTCACATCCATCCGAGGCACCTACTGTTTCTCCATGAGGCAAGTGCCCAGACCTGAGCCCTTCTGATGCCAAGCAGCCAACGCACCCATCAAAAATACCTTCTGAAGCCTACTGCCACATGCTCATCACTGTTCTGAGGGGACGAGCGTACGTGGCATCCAACGAAATGGACCAAGCTCCTGCCCTCCAGAGCAGAGGGGATAAATAAAGTGCACGATAGGTCAGATGGTGACAGGCACAAGCAGGGAGAGGAGGCAGGGCTGCCAGCCTGGATGTGCATGACGTGTGCACACATGCACACACACACACTCTTCGAAAGAGGATGGTCTAGGAAGACTGTGTCACTGTGAAGTGACATTTCCATAAGGCCCTGAAAAAGAGGCTGCAAGCCAAGGGCAGAGGTCGAGACAGCATCCAGCCACAGGAAGCAGGGAGCTCCCAAACTCCGAGGCAGCAGTGAACCTGGCACAGCCAAGAAAGAACATGAACCCACTGGGCTAAAGGCAAAAAGAGCGGAGGACAGAATACACGAGGATGCCTGTGGAGACCAGGCCCAGCACGCATGGGCCTCATAGACTGCTGTAAGGTCCTTAGGTTTTATTCTACATGCAGTGGAAAACTGGTGGAGGGCTGGCCAGAGGAGGGTCCCATCCACTTCATAGGACAGCCACCCCAGACGTGGCCAGAGCAGAGGGACGCTGGATTCCGAGGTGGACTAATCTCAGGGGAAATGCAACAGAGTCATCATGGTGTCTAAAAGTCAGACATCCAAGTGGCTACATGAACTCATCATCTGTTTATGACCTGGAGATCGGGGAGGGCTCTGGGCTGGCAACAGTCTGTGTTGATGGTACCAGAGGCAGTACCCCAAGATCAGAGAGGGGAGAATGGCAATCGCTGAACGGATCACCGATATGTACTTCATTACAAAGTAAGCTTGACCACGCTTCTATTATCTACCGTTTCGTGGACCAATGTGGAATTGTAAGGCCTCGAATGTTAGCTCTTAAATAAAATGTGCCTTTTATTTATTTACTTTTTAAGATTTTATTTACCTATCTGAGAGAGAGAGAGAGAGAGAGAGAGAGAGAGAGAGAGAAAGAGAGTTTATTCACATAGTGGGGTGGGGGGCAAAGGGAGAGGGAGAAGCAGGCACCCCTCTGAGCAGGGAGCCAGATGTAAGGCTAGATCCCAGGACCCCGGGATCCTGGTCTGAGCAGAAGGCAGATGTTTAACCTATGGAGCCACCCAGCCACCCCTAAAATATGCCTTTTAAAGAAAACATTTTGGGGGGCTCCTGGGGGGCTCCGTAGGTTAAGCGTTTGACCTCAGCTCAGGGCATGATCTCAGGGTCCTGGGAACAAGCCCTACACAGGGTTCCCTACTCAGCGAAGAGCCTGCTTGTCCCTCTGCCCCTCCCCCAGCTCACATGTGCACGTGCTGTCAAATAAATTCTTAAAAAACAAGTAAGTAAAGAAAACAGAACATTTTTTTAAAGGCCCTCCCACTCCTGGAAGGCCATTTCCTGGACCTTGGGCTCAGTGGGCTTCCCACTCGGTGCTGGCACTGTGCCTTCATCTGTCCCAGCAGTCACTGGTGGGCCCACATTGTCCCTAAGACAGCACAGTCCTGGCACCAGGCAGCTCCTCCACACCTAGCCCTGCGATTGCCACCCGGACCCTGCCATCTGCCTCTTCACTGCTCCCTCTAAGCCCGTAGATTCTGCAGGCTTTCAGCAACCAGGGCTCACCCCTCGCCCCCTCGGGAGCCAAGGGTCACACTGCTCTGTCCCCTCCTGCTCTGAGACAGACATCTCTGGCACCTCCCCCTCCTCCAACCCTCCTCCCAGCAGCACTGCTCACACAGAGAAGGGCCTCCTGCCCCTCCTCACCTCCCCCTTCACTGGAGACCACTTCTGAGCCCACACTTTCAGATACTTGCCTGCATTTTAAACCCCCTTAGATTAACCTCCACTGTGAAGAGGACACTGGACCGCTCATCCTCTGCTCTCCTCCAGTTGTTTATGCAGGCACCACGCACACAGCTGAAGAGGGCCCTCAGCAACCTTGCCACCAGGCTCTGCCCTGGTCCCGAAGCAGCCCTGGGACCGGGATGGGGATGGCTCCCACCAGGACAGCAGGAACAAGAGGGCTCCCCTCTGCACAGGGGCCCCTAGCCCTTCCCATTTCCAGCCCTTCACTTTCGCAGCCGGTGCACTTGGCTTCCTCCTGTCAGACTCATGAGTGCGGGAGAGCAGGGCCCAAGGGCCTGCCCAGGAGTCTGCGGGGTTCTCCTCCTGGAAGCAAGAGAGAATTCAAGGCTGCTTCTTCCCTGGACCACTGTGCGTTTTTGCACTTTACAACAAAAATGGTAACTTCGGGTACAAATTCAACTAATGCAAAATAATGTATTTCTACGTTGAGGAATGAAAGAAGTGGCTACGGGCTTACAAAAGATACCAAACATGGCTTGCTTGCATCCGTTTCCCCCATGACGTGTGTGGGAGCACAGGTTGGATTCTTCCTGCCAAGCCCTCCCAGCTTCCAGAAAACATCTTTATCTGGATGTCTGTTCTAACTGCTTGTTTGAGCCTGCACGAAAGTGTGAGGGGGTTCAGGAAGGGGGAGCAGGGGGCTCCACTACTCCCAAAGCCTTCACGGAGGCCAAGGCTCATTCTCAGAAACCAGCCCTCCCTTGATCTACTCCCTGAGCAGGTAACAGCTGATGGGAGCACCGGCATCCATGCTGAGTGCTATTTTTATACAATCTACTAGGCTTATCCAATTTCTCCTCACAGCATCTCGAGGGCATCTAATCATCTCCACTTTACAGACGAGGAAACGGCAAATAAAGGGAGGCTGTGGGAAGTGGATTAGAGCCGGAGATGGAGGCACCATCCAGCAGCCTTCCCTGTGGAGAAGCCACAGTCGGAGACTTGGACCTTCAGGGCCTGACACAAATTCCCAGCTGTGCCCACCGTTTCCCAGGTTATAAGCCTCTGCCCCCAGAGCTGGTCTAGGAAGTGCCCCTGAGCCCCTTCCTTGCCTGTGTGCTCCTGTGTTCCTAACAGAGACAAGCAGTTACATTAGACACCGCCAAGTAAGATGATTAGAGTTTGTGAGGATGAAGAAAACCTTTAAATTCCAAATAGGAACTACATTCATTAAAGACTCAGTCTCAACTCAGTTATTAAGTCCAGCCCCCATCCCCACCCTAGAAGCAGTGAGATCCACCTCTGTGTCCCCAGAGTACTCTCTGGTGGGCACCCCCACCCCACCCCCAGCAGGCCCAGCACAGGAGCCCCAGCACCACAACGCAGGCCCTTCCTGCAAGAGGCTTCCCACCACGGGCTCACAGTCCTCCTCGTCCTTCCACGCACGCATACACCAAGGCCCTGGTGTGCACCAGACTCAGGCCCCTGCTCTTGAGGAGCTCATGGGTGGACCTGTCACCTCAAACTCAAAACCTACAAATGAAATGAGTGCAAGATGCCACAGAAACTGCAATCTGCTAACCATACCTCACCCTGAACTCCTTCAAGGCAGAGATTCAGTGTTAATGCTGGGATCTCCTATGACCCCCCCTCCCCCGACACTAATAATGACATGGAAGGTACTGCTGGATTCTTTTACTAATACAAGATCATTTACTCCAAAACCCGTTCACACCTCCAGATAATTCTGCCCTTCTACAGCAAGGGGAAGACCCCTTTTTCCAGAAAGGCAGCACTGGCAGGAAAACTCATTCTCACCCGGGAGATCTCTGCATCAATGTTCCCCAGCACCTGAGCACACCTTTGGCTGGATTCTGTGTAATTTAAACCCAGGAACAGATGCATTCCCTGATCTAGGACTTGGAGCTGCACATGGGGCCAGAGACAGGTGACCCAGAGGACACTGACAAAGTTCAGCCCATGACCAGAAGGGCAAGAAACAGAAGCTGCCCTCAAAGGTCAGTGTTGTGATAGAGGTAAGCAGAAGGCACGGCGGTGGTGGGGAGAGACCAGAGCATTCTGGAGGAGTAACTCTCCAGCTGTGCTGGGTAATGGCCAATAAAGCTATAAAGCAATAATCCATGGGGCAGAGAAACTGTCCTGCGAATGAAGCTGGAGTGATTCCCAGCTGGCCTCTGGTGGGTGGAAAGGAGGCAGGAAAGGAGATTTTGTCATCTTCGTGCCCTCAAAGCTCACTCAGGACACTCAGCCAGCCAAGGCACACAGGGTGGGTGCAAGAGGCTCAACCCTCTGACACTGGGTAGGAACGAGAGGCTTCGTCCTCAGGCAGTTGGTAAACAGAAGCCTAAGCCCTACCTTGTCTTAAGGAACCCATGCACTGTGCAGGTCCACCCGGCACAAACAATTCCAAGGCAGCGCCCTGCTAAAGGTGAGGATGAGGCTCTGGGGAAGGTGGTGGAACAGAGTGAAAAAGCAAAGGCTCTGGCATCTGACCAACCTGGCCTGCCTGCTCACTCCAGGTATGACTGGGCAGGGTCCCACTCAATCAGCAGCCTCCCCTGTGCTAAGAGGTATTTACACCTGCTGCAGACACTGTGAAGACAAAACTAGCAACGAGTGTCTCTGCAATGTCAGCTTCCAGGGCAGGTCCTGAGCACGCCGTGTTCTGTCCCTGGCTTCCTCGCCACTGCCTGGAGTGCCCTCTGGGACAGGCCCCAAACACCTCCACGGGGCACTGAAGACAGCTCAGCCGAGCATCTTTGGCAGTGGCCACCTCACAGCCTGCCGTTCACTACTCCTGAGTGACATCAATTCCTGTGGCTGCAGCTCCAAGCTCCAAACCCTCACTCCCGGGAGGTCTTCAGTAGACCTATAACAGTCTCAAGGTTTAGGAGAAAAGCAACAAATGACAAGAATCCTGGAGGTTCATTCCTAAGGTTGCAGTCAAGTCTGCTTTATTTAGGGACTGGGCCTCGTTTCAGATCAAAGATCAAAAACGGCCTCCAAATGTGTTCCTAGCAGTTTTAGATTCACTGTACACAGAAGTGTTGAAGCCCAAATGGGCCTTTTGGCCAAGTGGCATCTTTTTTCCTGCAGAGCCCCTCCATAAGCCAGGCGACAGCGACTGGGGGTGTCACCTTATAAAGCCCTACAAGGTTAATCATAATCACTGCAGGGGACAGGGGAGCAAACGTGCTCAGAGAGGGTTAAAGCCCACCACTAAGGCCATGAGGCATGTAGGAGGAGAGGCTGGACCAGGCCTAAGGGTTCCAGAACCATCTCCTCCCACTATCCCTCCACAACTCTGCCCCTAAACACCAGTATTCTCTGCAGTGACAGCCCACCCCTTCCTCAGCATGAAGATGTGCCTGGCCTACTGTTCTGCCCAGAACTCTCTAAAGCCTCCTATCTGTATGTCTACTTAGATGTCCAGCAGGTACCTCAAAATCACTGAGTCCCAAATCAAATCCATGAACAATGCTGCCAAACCTGCAAGCCCCTCTCCAGCCAGACACTTGAGCGCAGATGATTCTGGGCCTTCCCTCACACGACTGCAAACTGTCTCCAGGTCCCGCAGCTCCCCTCTCTCCAGCCTCTCTGCTCCCCACCATCCACCTGCTCCCAAGCCTCAGTTCAAGCCCTGCTCTTCTGGCCTTCACTTGTCCCGGTCTCTAGGCTCCCCTGGCTCCCAAGTAACCTAAAGCTCACTTCTAGATACAACCTGCCTTCATCCTCACCCTGAGCAAAAGCCTGCAACCATTCCTTCGGCCCCTGCAATCTTGCCCAACCTCCCTGGCATGGGACCTAAGTCACATACGATTTGGCCCCCTGGCCTCCCACTTGCCTTTCTCACCCTTTACGTTAGGCTCCAGCATCACCAAACTGACTGCTACAGCCCTGCTAACTCTGGACCACCACATGTTCACATCATGCCTCGGCTCAAATTCCTGGGTCACCTCTGTGTACTCTAACCCCTTAGCTGGGGTCCAGGGCTCTGTCCGTCTTCCCTGCAGACAGAGCTCCTGACAGGCAAGCACCATGTCCTGCTTCCCACTCATCACTAGGATCCTAGCAGAGGGCTCAGCATAGACCCGGTATGTAGTGGCATCTCAATTAAGGGATAAATGGCACTCAGAAAACAAATAGGTCCAGGACACTGTTTTTCTCCTTGAGGGAGTAAGAAGGCTAGTGACAGTCACAGATGATAATAAAACAGGCCTAACAGGGCCCAGATGACTAACCGTGCAGGAGCTTGAAGAGCTGAGGGCATTGCAAACGCAGGGCAGTGGGGAAGACTCTAAAACAGGATGTGGGAGGGAGTTAAGCTGAGCCCAGAAAGCTGGCAGTGAGGACATGAAAAACAGGGAGATGAGAAAACACACAGAAAATTCGATCTTGGGATCCCTGGGTGGCGCAGCGGTTTAGCGCCTGCCTTTGGCCCAGGGCGCAATCCTGGAGACCCGGGATCGAATCCCACATCGGGCTCCCGGTGCATGGAGCCTGCTTCTCCCTCTGCCTGTGTCTCTGCCTCTCTCTCTCACTGTGTGCCTATCATAAATAAATTAAAAAAAAAAACTTAAAAAAAAAAAAAGAAAATTCGATCTTACCAATCAATTAGGTAGATGTCTGGAGTTAGGTTGTTTTTCTTAAAATGAGCAAATAATTTCGGCAAATTTTCTTCAAAGAATACCTCAAATGCAGCAAAATACGTCAACATCTGGGGAGATAATGTGAGACATACCAATAAACCAATGATCACAGGTTTCCATTTTACAGAAGAAAGGCCACATATAGACACTTTTGGAACAGAACAATCGTCTCCTGCAGCTGCTAACATGTCTTGATTAGAACTCCTCACTGGGCTCAGGCAGTTTCTACCTAAGCCCCTTCCCTACTCTTCACAACAATGTCACTAGCTACATCGCAGTGTTTCCTCAACTTACACATAAGACAAGAGAGGTTCAGAGCAGTTAGTAACTTGCCACTGGTGTGCAGCAAGGCTGGGATTTGAACCACGCCTGTCCCACAGCAAAGGCTGAGTCTTGGTGGGCCTGCTCTTCTCTAAGAATGACCGACTGCCTACATAACCCGAGAAAGCAGGCATCCCTGGCACACAACCATGGCATATCCAGAGGGAGTATCATACTGGCACGTGTAGCATAGGCTAAGCTACTCTGGCCTCAAAATGCAGCTCTTTTAATTCAGTTAAGGGAGAAAGCATTAAGGAAAAGCATTCAGAGCCTGTATTTTACCACCACAAGCTTTTCAACTCCTAGAGGGTTTGTAGGAAAATAAAACACACTGAGCAGGGGAGTGCGGCTGAAAGAGAAAGAACAGGTACAATGGGATTAGGAATGACACACACTGGAGCGCCAGCCCATTTACCACCTGGATGCATGTGGGCAAATGGCGACTCTTGGACTCAGTGAAGGGATGGACTATAAACCAGTGGGTCCCAGCAGGGGTGCGGGGAGGACTTTGCCTCCCAGGGGGACATCTGACAATAAGGACATTTTTGATGGATATGCAAGGCTCCACTCAGCAGCCAGTGCGTAGAGGCCAAGGATGCTGCGAGCCTCCTCTGGGGCCTAGGACAGCCCTCCATAGTGCTACTGTCGGGAGACCTTGCTGTAAAGAAGGTCCCACTCAATGCTACTAAGACTCTGATCTTTCCTTAAAAATACATGTGAAAATTCATAAGCATGGTTTTTATCATATGTTTTGAAAGAGAAAGGTGGGGTCTTATCTTTACAATTAGGAGATGTTAACATAAAAATCATTTTATTATATAAAACAAGCATTTTCCTGACTGAAAATCTGTAAATATTCCCTGTAAAAAAAACTTCAGAATTACAGAAGCAAAGACAACCATCCACAAATACTATTAACATTGTTCGTTTCCTTTTATTGTTAAATATGGTAGCACCTGTTCTAGTTCAGATACTTTTGGAAAAAAATTAGCTTTTTCATCGTACATATTTTCCCACAATACAATGCTTTAAAATTATCAGTACCACACTGGATGTGGCACCAGATTTCATTATTTTTTTAATTCTGGTACCTTAACATACAGCAGTATCTTATTTTCAAAAGTACAATATAGTGAACGATCCAACAGTTCCACACATTGCTCGGTACTAAGTGCTCTCCTTAACCCCCATCACCAATTTCCCTATTCCCTCCCCAGGGTAACCACCAGCTTGTTCTCCAGTTAAGAGTCTGTATTTTGTCTCCTCCCTTCATTTGTTTCTTAAATTCCACATATGAGAGAAATCATATGATATTTGTCTTTCTCTGACTGACTTATTTCACTTAGCATAATACCCTCTAACTCCATCCATGTTGTGGCAAATGGCAATATTTCATTCTTTTTTTATGGCTGAGTAATATTCCGTTGGATATATACACATTTTCTTCATCCATTCATCAGCTGATGGACCCTTGGGCTGCTTCCATCATTTAGCAATTATTGATAATAATGCTATAAATATCAGGTGCATATGCCTTTTGAATTAGTACTTTCCCGTTCTTTGGGTAAATATCCAGTGGTGTGATTACTGGATCATATGGTAGTTCTACTTTTAGTATCTTGAGGAAACTCCATGCTGTTTTCCAGAGTGGCTGCACCAGCTTGCATTCCCACCAGTAGTGTAAAAGGGTTCCCTTTCTTCCTACATCCTCACCAACACCTGTTGTTTCTACTGCCAGATTTTAAAGAACCATCTGCCTCCCCCTAAACCCCCATTTTAAAATGTTTTCATTTTCACCATGAAAGATAATTTTAAATTATAACAGTTATAAGTAATTATGTAACAACCATCTTTGTGCATTATGCTTTGTCCATACTTGTGACTTTCTTAGAACTGATTCGCACAAGCAGAATTGAATACCCGTGCCATTTACCACTGATACTTAAAACCAAATTGTCTTCCAAAAGGCCTCTGCTAATTTATATTTCCCTAACAGCCACCATTTTCACAGCACTGTTGAAATACTACTTTTTTTAAAATGTATGTACTGCCTGAGCAAGAAATACTCAAGAGTCCTTAGAATATTAAGGAAGAAATACTCCTGAGATTGTCTTGAAATACTGGTGACAATTATCAGCAAATCATAAGCAAATCCAGCCAATGAACCTGTAGAATGGGCGACCCTCCTGGGCTGGAGAAAGCCCACAGGCTTAGGAAGCAGAATGGGTTGGGCTCCCAGCTCTTCTACTCACCAGTGATGTACCTTATGGGTCATGTCATTTCTGAGCCTTGGTTCTTCATCTGTGCCACAAAGAAGACCCACCTCCAGGAACAAGTCAGGGGCCTCCCAGGGCAACTCCTGTCAGCTCCTTCCTGTTCTGTGTCTACAGCACTAAACTGAACACACTGATATCTTTGTCAGAAAAAGGAGCTGGTCCTAACCACGTCTCTTTCCCCGTAGGAGCGTACTACGTGAAGCAGAGCCCCCATGTGACAGTGAGTGGCAACAGAGGTGGATTACACACTGTTCTGTGTAAAGCACTCCTGAGCCTCTGCCTTGACACAAAGTGTGCATATTCGGGCAAGAGATGCCCCTCCTCCCTCATTTAAAGGATGTGTTTTCAGAAATACTTTTTTTTTTAATTTTTATTTATTATTTATGATAGTCACAGAGAGAGAGAGAGAGAGAGAGAGAGAGAGGGAGAGAGAGAGAGAGGCAGAGACACAGGCAGAGGGAGAAGCAGGCTCCATGCTCCATGCACCAGGAGCCCGACGTGGGATTCGGTCCAGGGTCTCCAGGATTGCGCCCTGGGCCAAAGGCAGGCGCCAAACCGCTGCGCCACCCAGGGATCCCCCAGAAATACTTCTGAAGGAAGAAGGTATTAAGAAATGGCTATTAACTGTGTGTTTGGAAAACATATTCCTTCTCCCTCTGAAAAGACAGAATAATTAGCCACTCAGGCTGTGTGGAGACAAATATACCAGGGATACTCACAAGGCCATGGTCCACTCGGAAAAACGCCATTTGACAGGGTTTATTCAAAAGATTAGAAAAAGCAATGAAGGCATCTGCAGTATCTAGGTTCAAGATCAACACTGCCGCTATAAAGGACATGCCCTGAACCTAAAGAAGGAGAGAAGAGGGTATTAAACTCACAGTAGCCACCGCTGCCAAAATGGCTCTTTTACGTGACTAATAAAAGTGGAACCAGAACACCCTCATGCCAGGAGGGCCCATGTAGCCAACCCCCAACCCCACCGCCACCTGCCCATCACTGACCTGAGACCTCAGCAGCTCTGGCCTATCCTCCCTCAGACTGCTCTGCCACATGGGCCACAGTGCCTGCACTCCCTCTGCCCTGCCGCCATCCACATGGAAACCCATAAACGCATTTGGCATTTGAGAGCCTGCCCTCCAGCACAGACAGTGCCCCGCTGCCATGGAAATGCGACTCTTACCTGATGCATTAAATCTAAAATCATGCACACACACATCTGCTAAGCCAAAGAAACAGCAGCAGCACAGTCAATGGTTACTGCTTAAAGGCTTTTCTGATTTAATGATAAAAAAAAAAAATCACATGCAAGAAATGATAAAGCCAATTACAATGTGATTAATGTCAGAGCGGCCGAATCGGCTCAATCCCTTTACAAGAAAATGGAGGCAACTCCTTTACCACTAAACTCTCCATCCCTCTCAACAACAACAAAAAAATGAAGGCACTCAGCCTGACATTGGCAGCTAAGTTGTGCTGGGCCATATTCTGACTCTTTTTAAATGGTAACATTATAAAATATTGAAAAGGTTCACTTACATAACCCACATCCGGTCGGTAACAAGTATAAGCGCCCAAAATACTGTGCAACATGTCATGATATGGACCACCCTAAAAGGATTAACACACCAAAACACGTGCGTAAGTCTGGTTAGTACTCAGAACATTTGACACTGTGCTGCTGGTCACACCAGCTGCTCACGGAGGACGAGCTGGGTGCCAAGCGTTATGCTCACAGCTCTGCGCGTGCTGCAGAGTTCAACAAGTTAACGAGCGAGAGAGGCTACAGCTCAACCTACAAGGCTGCTTGGAGAAAAGCTGCTGGGTCAGGCCTGAACACCTCGCTAGGAAAACAGACTTAGCCTGGCTCCTGTTGCATAACCGTGCTTCCCCTTCAAAGTTCAACAGGCAAGCCAGCTCCCTCAGGGTTCTTCGGAGCAGGGGACCCACTGGTCTCCCCCCAACCCCCCATTATCATCTTTGTTTCTTCTATATTTTTCTGCCTGGAAGGTTTGAGAAATACCCTCGAAGTATTAAGTCCTGCTAGTGACCCTTTTAGTCTAAACACTCTCCCGGTTCTCTCATCCCTGAGGCTTTGCTAGGATTTTGGGTTTCCTAAGTGCGCACAGGAGAAAGCACACGGTGCTCCCTGCCCAAGTCAGTGTCTGAAGACACTATGAAGGGACCACTGGGTCTGAATTCCACACTCCCTGCCCTACCTACCCCGAGGCTACAGTCAACTTTAGGAATAAAACGTGTGAGGAGTCACTCTGCAGGTGACCGCATGTGGCTTAACCAAGAACGCCATGGCCCCTGCCATCACGTTCTGGTATATACAGGAAGTCAAGTAGAAGAAATGACAATTCTCAATCAGAGGGACAGAAGGAGGAGAGCCCCAACAGTAAGGTAAAAAAGATGGCATCCAGTGCCAAGAGGGTAGGAGAAGGGGGGCGGGGAGGGAGCTCTCTGGCAGCGCCAAATGCCCACCTGAACACTACTGCTGACCATCATTAATGAGAAAAACAAGAGTGCTACACTGAACTTTACTTAAAGGTATAAGCTTTTAACTTAAGATTCTCCACCCTTCTATGTTCTCTCTCCAAAGAAAAGATGGTGCCAGCAGATGGCAGCCCCTTATTTCAGATGTCCTTGCTTTGGACATCCTTCCCACACTCTTCCCTCCACTGTCCTTTGGTTTTAGGACCACCCAGAGCCAAGAGGACAGCAGGCTGAGGGACACACCCAAAGGAACGCAGAAGGAAAGAGAAAAGCTAACTTCTCTGCCATCTGCCCCCAACCTCACATCAAAGACACCCCTAAAGTTCCTCCTCATCTTCTGAACATACCTCCCTGCACCAAGATAATTGCCCAGTGAATCTCAAAGTCAATGAGGCTGAGTCCCCAAGAGATACTGCACAGATTACTCTGGGTCCCCGGTCTGGGGACACTGGTCCTCAACGTTGGAAAGACAGGCAACCTCTTGGGCCCCACCCCAGTTCCCCGACTGCCCTTCTTGGCTACACTGCACGTGTGTCTAGAAGCACTGCCCTGGCAGCCCCCTTCCTCCAGAGCATGGCTGTCCCACAGCAAACTCCGGTGCAGCTACAATGGCCAGGAGTCAGTAAGTGGGGGCCACAGCACTGAACTGCATGCTCTCTGCTCATTCCTTCAGAGGGAAGCGGGGATCCCCTGCAGCAGCCACTATTTGATGCTTTGGTTCTAATCCACCTTCTGCCTGGGATGTCTTTCCCATCGTCTGGCCAGGCTGTCATTCAAACCTAGTCCAAGCACAGCCTGAGGGCCCCCTCCTCAGCAACCCCATTCCCAACACCCCCCATCCTCATGCCAGACTCCCAGCAGAGCGACCTTAGGTCTTCTGTGCTGAGGCACACCCACGTTTCTGTAGAGCCCTCGTGTGTCTAACATCAACATCTGCATGCCTAGCTCAGTCCAAGTGGGTAGTGAACTGTGTTCTGGTTCATTCACTATCCTTCACTGGGTATGGAGGGTGTGTGTGGCGTGATATCAGAAACATGGGCCTGACAGACAGTTTGGGGATTCCAAGGTTGCTCAGCAGGTGCTGAGGCGAGCACATGCAGGTGGCTGGGGCTGGGTGTGGAGGCTGGCACAGCTATCCGCGAAAGACAGGAATGGGAGCCAAGTAAGGGCAGTAGGAATGGAGCAAGGACAGAGTCAAGGATATTTCAGAAGCAGAACTGGCAAAAAAAACCATTACAGAATGAACACAGGAGGGGTCAAATGAGACCCCCAGGGAAATGTCTGCTGTCAGAAGAGGTCTTTACAATGCCTCTGTTCCAATGACTCCAGAATCCACTGCCGGCAGCCCTGAGCCCTACCTGTGCTGACTCAGAGGTCCATGAGAGAGCTCACATTTCTCTTTACTGCCCTCTAAAAGAGAATTCTCTATCCTGTCTCCCACGGCTGGTTTCTGCACCCAGAGGTGCCACCACTTCCTGGGGTCATCTGCTCAGAAGCCCACACTTACTACAACCATAACTTCCAAGGACTTCCTCACACTCCTGCCCGCACCGCAGGCCCCAGGGCATGGGATCATCTTCTGAGGGAGTGCTACTGTGGGCAGCCCTGAAAACGAAGTAGTGTCAGATGGAGTAGCACACAGGGCCCTTCTTGGACCAGACCTACCCCAGCTCAGGTATGTACACTGTACAAGGAGCCCAGACTGCCTTTAAAAAGCAGAATCATGGTCATACTAAATGTTTGTTGGGAAGGACTAGTTACCCTCCTCTGTAAAAGTCTAAATATGATGACATGAGACTGCTCTCCCCCAACTCCACCCCCATCCCCCAAACCCCTACTACTTTTCAAACTTGATTACAAGTAAGTGCGGTTCGGCATCTATGATGTTTAGACAAAACATACTTAAAGCAACAAATTAGCACCACCTACTTGCTGGAAAATGCAGAGATTAGGAAACGTTCTAGAAATGTCCAGTTTAATAAGCTCCAAGCTGGCTTCTCTGTCTGCTGCTGAAAACCCAGCATCTATCAAAACATGAAGAACATTGACACCTCTCAGGGGCAAGCACGTGCAATGATTACAAGGCTCAGAAGTGTTACAGGGACGAACATAGGAAATGGTTCTGCACAAGGACAGAGGCCGGCCCATAGCAGGAGTCAACATGGTCCACCATGGGCTTCCAGCAATTTGTGGGGTTCCTTACTGAAGAGCAAAATCTCAGAGCACCAGCGGATGCTAGATCATCATTAGGGATTTCCCAGAGTCTGAAATCAAACCTGGTACCAACAACAGTCAGCGGAAGTTAAGGACAAACAAGGAAATATACACAAAACACGTCTCCATCTGCTCTAAAGCATCACCTGTGTGGACTGAGAGGTATGGCAGGTACTGCAGGGGAACACTCCTGCATGCTATTTCTGATAAATATTTACAAATAACTGGTGCTGTATTTTTTTACTTCCAGTATTACATAGGCAGTATTAAAAAAAATATCAGTAAAAAAGATGCTACTTAACCAGAAGTGATCACTCCTGAGCATCACGGGGAATTCTAAAAGCAGCATCTAGCAACTATGCAGTGTTCCTGTCTCTCTGGAGTTGTTCCCATGCTCCTGTGTGAGCCAACACTTGACCAGTCCTAGGGGCCAGGCTGCTAAAATCATGTGAATAGTAAAACCACACTGGTTACCACTGGCTCTCCTAGATGGCTGCACACAAACACGTCTCAAACTGATCTTTATCGTAAGCTTTTTCTTCAACTTGTTCACTCTAAAAAATCCCTTTTCCCATGAAACTTTTTAATAAAATTCCACCAACCACTATTTCAGCTAAGGAAACTTTGTTACGTAATAAATAACAACACACATGACTGACCACAGTAGCTGATGGGGTTTAGTAGATGGGGTTAGTATCATGTATACCTTCATTCTCTGCTTCAGAGCCTCCAGCGCTAAAGGACCGCCACCTCTCCTTGGCTCGGGCAAGACAGATGTGAAAGAGTTCTGGAAGAAAAGCCTCAGGGTAAGTATCATGTGCACATGGGAGTATGTTTCTTCAAAAGAACCAGAGAGCACACTACCACTTCATTCAAATACTTACAGTTCAACCTTAGACTGAACACCTATTAGGCCACATAAACAATTCCCCAACGTGGCCTAAAGGTATAACTGCTGCCTAAAGACATCACCACAGACTAAGAAATAATTCACAAGATATTATCCCAATGCTGTGTATTTACTTAAATTTCACAACCTGCCTATACAACGCTTCTGTTCTGACTTGTTTTGGAGTTTATCGCCTCTACTAGACTGTGAGCTCCTCAGGGGTGAGACCATAAAAGGACTCACATCTGTGTCCAGAGAAGATGGTGCTGGGACTGATACAGATCAATATAATGAATATCTGACTGATGGAGGAAAGCCGAGACCAGCAGGAACTCATCTTGTTTCAGATAAAGGCAAGATGAAACTGCTACCCCGTGGCCCAGCCTTCCTAATCTTGCTACCTAAAAAGTGGGTAGGGGTCAAGCATAATGGGCAGAGGCTTCAAAACATTAGGGTTTTGCTGGCAGCAAATCACCAGGATGAGTCCCCATAAGGCTCCAGATCTCCTCCAAACTTACAACTTCCTCCTTCAGTAAGTCTTCTCCTTGAGCAGCTTAGGACCAGTGAAATAGTGTCTCCAGCTCACAGATCTTGCTCTTACAGACAGCCCTCAGTAGGTATATCCACACCCCATTCTCGAAGGAAGCAGAGAGGACTGTACTCTCAGAGACCTCCCAGTCCCGGGCCCCTCGTCCATGTCCATAATGCTGACAAACACCAATGGATTGCTGAGAGTTTAATTATAGCCACCCAGAGAATTTCTGTCATTACTTTTGGAAAAAAAGCAGAGCACCTCTGCCTTCCTGACCACACATCCTGTCTTATTAAAATATAAGCCCAGTTGTAGTAACAGTATTGTGATCCAACAAGTAAAATCTTGATTGATGACCTTTTTCCAGCCTTAAGAATCTGACTCACAACACGCTAGTCGCCAGGGCAAAAGAGGGTACGACTATGAAATGTAACTCATAGGAAGACATAGACATGGCCAACAAGCACATGAGAAAATGCTCTGCATCACTTGCCATCAGGGAAATACAAATCAAAACCACAATGAGATACCACCTCACACCAGTGAGAATGGGGAAAATTAACAAGGCAGGAAACAACAAACGTTGGAGAGGATGTGGAGAAAAGGGAACCCTCTTGCACTGTTGGTGGGAATGTGAACTGGTGCAGCCACTCTGGAAAACTGTGTGGAGGTTCCTCAAAGAGTTAAAAATAGACCTGCCCTATGACCCAGCAATTGCACTGCTGGGGATTTACCCCAAAGATACAGATGCAATGAAACACCGGGACTCCTGCACCCCAATGTTTCTAGCAGCCATGTCCACAATAGCCAAACTGTGGAAGGAGCCTCGGTGTCCATCGAAAGATGAATGGATAAAGAAGATGTGGTTTATGTATACAATGGAATATTACTCAGCCATTAGAAACGACAAATACCCACCATTTGCTTCAACGTGGATGGTACTGGAGGGTATTATGCTGAGTGAAGTAAGTCAATTGGAGAAGGAAAAACATTATATGGTCTCATTCATTTGGGGAATATAAATAATAGTGAAAGGGAATAAAGGGGAAAGGAGAAAAAATAAGTGGGAAATATCAGAAAGGGAGACAAAACATGGAAGACTTCTAACTCTGGGAAATGAACTAGGGGTGGTGGAAGGGGAGGAGGGCAGGGGGTGGGGGTGACTGGGTGACAGGCACTGAGGTGGGCACTTGACAGGATGAGCACTGGGTGTTATTCTGTATGTTGGCAAATTGAACACCAATAAAAAATACATTTATTATTTAAAAAAAAGAAATATAACTCATATTATCATCACTAAACGAGAGGGTCTGGGGAACCTCCACCTGCTCTCACATTCCTGGAGTTTGGCTTGGCTTTCATCACGTGAACAGAAGATGGAAGGAAGCAACTGCAGTGGCCAAGAACCACTTCCCAAAGAGGTATGTCACAGTTCAAGCACAGATGTTGGCTGCCGCAGGGCAGAATGGGTCAAAGCGTCAGCATTTTAAAAGTATTTCTGTGGCTTTATTGCTGTATTTACAGGGATGAGGGGGAGAGCAAACATACCTTCCGCCCAGACCTGACTTCAATGCACAAGGACTTGCCGAAGAGTGAAGGTTTAGTAGTAGTAGTAGTAGTATACTGACTTCCTAGAAGTTTCCAATTTCACAACCCTTTTTTTTTAAAGATTTTATTTATTTATTTCAGAGAAAGGGAATACATGAGAGAGCATAAGCAAGGGGAGCGGCAGAGGGAGGAGCAGACTCCCCACTCAGCAAATAGGCCCATGTGGGGCTCCATCCCAAGACCCTGAGATCATGACCCGAGCCAAACGCAGACACTTTACCGACTGAGCCACGCAGGTGCCCCACACAACCACAGCTTTAAGAGCAAATCTCCAGGGCTTCCCAAATTGGAACACTAGCTTCTGACTTAGCCAGGGGTAGAAAAAAATCCTGATTCCACCACACACTACAGTGTGGGGCACAGTCCCTAAGCTTTTCAAGATGGCTGTCAATGTTAGAGAAGATGTGTTAAAAACACAAATGTGACACCCTGCCTCAACAAATGGAATTCACTGATTATCTGTATTCTTAGACTGCCTTAAATACTCAGTAAAACTGAGATTAAAGAGAACCCAAGAATGAATGCATGCGTTCATTCCACAAATATTTCCTGAGAGCCTGCCACATGCAGAGAGCTGTGCCAGGCACAAGTGACAGAGCAGGATAGGTGGGACCTCAGCTTCCTAAGCACCAGCTCTGGGGAGGGACAACAGACACCAGACAGCTAATCATACAAGAAAGATGCAACTTAAATAAAATGAACTAGTAACAGCATTTAGACAAACTTTCCAGATCTATAATTGATTGATTAGCTGTTTAGCCCAATCTACTCTGATATGGTTTCACAGAAGATTCTAATTGACATAAAATCATGAGAAATACACAGCATTCTGCACTATGTTCCGCTACTGACAGAGTTTAGAGAATTTTCAAGAACAAGGACTGAAATAAGTACTCAGCAATCTACAGATGACTCCCAAAATCTACAGATGATTCCTACAAGTTAAACATTACATATCATCTTCTCACACAAAGAAGTCAAAATTAGCTGGAAATGGAGCTTGGAGGAGGTCACGAGAAGCAGCAACCAGTAACCATCCACACAAGTGGCTGACATTACTCAAGACTGAGAATGCTGCCTGGACAAGCCACCATCATGGGGTACGATCAAAGTCTTGTAAAATAGAAAAAGATCACAGTAATAAATGATACGACCTTAGCTACATAGAGAAGATATAAATCCACCTGTTTTCCACTCGAGTGCCTTCCATGGGGTGACAAGCACTTGCTGAGCACTAACAAAAACGAGGAAGAGGCTTGTATCTTGGCAGTTGAGCCTGCCGCCAGGGAGCAAAGGGAGAAGCAGCAGCCACCATTTATGAAGCACCTGATGGTACATGTCTGAGCTCCTGGCACCCATCTCCGGGGGTGCAGCCTTGCAGGAAGCCAGGCACGGAGTGGGAAGCGAGCCCATGTGTGCAGCTGCTGGAGCATAAACACTGCATGGGGCATCCAGCGGGACAAATGGCCCAAGGAAAGCTGAGTGCACATCTCATTCTCCCTCTGGACATAAGCTACCAGAACTCAGGGACCCCAGGCCTGACATGTAGCCATCCCTCTAAGGTGCTTATATATAAGCCACCTGGAGTTAAATGCTGCAAAAAAAGCCAACAGTACCCCAAATAGGACACTTCCAGAGAAAGAAACACCCACCTCCCTTCCACTGTCATGTCCCTGTCAAGGCTTGCTTTCCACAGTACTTGGAGAAGAGATCCTGACATGACCCAGCCTACTGATGCTTTGGAATCTATATGTGCCACCCTGCCTATTCAGGGAAGAGGACAGGTAGCAGGAAGAAGGCAGGTGTTTCCTCTGAACCACGATGTAACTGAAGCATCTATGAGCAACCCTAGCCTCCCCACTGTCTCTCCCTCCTGGAGGACATAGTTGCTAGGCCTCTCAAGAGACATGGCTTCATGGCAATGGCTGCCCTTTTTCCTAATGGGGCAAAGGGGGCAGGAGAAGCCACAGGGATAGGGGTGGAAAGTAGCAGGGGGAGAGGGTATGATTCCCCAAGCCTAGGGTCATGCAAGTTACTCACCATGGGTGATGTTTAATTCGTTGCCAATGGCTAAGCTCCAGACTTTGCCTCTCACACTGGGAGGGATTCCCTGCCACCATAAATCTCGAACTTTTCTAGAGCACCACCTGGACAAAAACGGCAACAGGAATTTATGAGTTTGTTCTCAATCAAGATACATCGTCTGTATGCCTAACCCAGACCAAAAGAGTAAGAGACATACAGTCACATGTACAGCCCCCACCCTCAGCGAACTGCAGTTCAGTGTTTCGGAGGCTGGGAGACTAACGACTAGCTTCCACGGGGCAATGGCTGTGACAGGTATGCCAAGGTCCCTGCATGAGCAGGGAGGGTGCCACAGCCCAAACAGGTCGGGACACTGTTCTGGAGCTGAGTTCTGAATGACCATCAGCAGTTTAAGCAGGTAAAGGATGGGAAGGGCTTTCTGAGCAGAAGAAACAGCCTAGCCTGCTACAGGAATGGCAAACAACTGGGCATGGTGTGCGAGTGCCAGGGGAGCACTGTTGCAGAGCCACGGTGGAGGTGAGCCCCCAGAGCCCAGCAGCGGCTGCCTCACCACTGCACACAGGCCAGTCATGCAGATAGTGAGCTGCCAAACTCTGATGGCAGAGGAGACTCTGCTAACTTAAAACATTCCGAACTGCACAAAGTTGTTGAGGTCTGCTGCTACCATGGACATACACAGCCAACACACAGACAGAGGTAAAGGTGCCATGGCTCCCCTGGTGCTTCTCAACACAGCATAAGAAGAAGAGCACAGGCTAGTGCTACAGAAACCAGGTCTGCATCCTGAGTCCACCCTTACCGGTAGAATCCAGAGCAAATTACTTCTCCTCTGACCCATTAACATCCTCTCTGACCTCAAGATGCTGAAAGCCTCCCCTTGAAGGGCTGTTTTGAAGATCAAGTGGAACAGAGCACAAAGACACCAAGCACAGCGCCTGGCACCCAGCAGGTGCACTAAACAACAGCTGCTGTGTAAGTGCATATATCTACATCACTTCGACCGTCGGTCAGGATAGGATGGACTGGGGGGGGGCAGTTCTGCAGCCACATAGGGAGATGGCCCACAGGTTCTGAGCACCTCAACTTTGTTACTGAGTCTCATTTGAGAAAAAGTATTTCCTGTGTCCAGCCTATTAAAGACACTGCCTAGAAAAGCAGGTTCTGGGAATAGCTTGTTTTCCTGGTGGAGATCCTCAACAGAGCTGTCTGACCCCCATAATGAGAGTAACACCCAGGCAAGTGCCAGAAGCAAGTGCCCAATATCCTGACATACGGTTCAAGTGGAAGGGACAAAAGCTGAAGGGAAACTCGCATCCAAGTTCCCCAGCAGTGCCTGCTAACAGGCTGAGGCCCAAAAGGAGCCACTGGGACTCCCATCCACAAGCCCATTCTGAATGTACAGGAAGAAAAGATCTATAGCTGTCCCTTGGGTGTTAAGATGACAACAGCTGCCAGACTATGCTGGATACTGGCCACTGGAGGCTGTCATCAAAGACCTGGTCCTCATCCTCAGAGGACAACAGATGCTTGAGCAGATGGATGCAGTGTACTCAGGGGTCTTCTACAGTCACCTGGACAGGAAAGTCTTCCCCAAGGAAGTCTGAGCTTTAAAGAATGAAGAGTTAGCTGGATGAGGCATTACAGGACAAGAGCACTCTAAGGAGAGGGGATGGAACATGCAAAGGTCCTGTGACTCCCTAAGAAGAGGGCTCATCGAGGAAGGAGAGCTGGAAGGTGAGCTGAGAGAGGAATGGGCAGGTTATCTCACAAAAGATCCCATCAGCTAAGCAAAGGAATTCACACTGCATACAGAGTAACAGGAAGTCATGGACATTCTACACTGGGAGGGACACAGACCTGGGCTTCACAAGATCCCTTGGGCTACTGAGAAGATAATTTAGGGGTCAGATGGGGGCTGTCACGGTCCTAGGCAAGGAACAGCAAGGCTGAGCCGAGGTAGGGAGGGAGACCCCACGCCACATAAAAGTAGGAGGTAAAATCACCAAAGGCTGTGATAGAAGCTACAGTTACTCTGCCGGGGGCGACAGGTTCTAGAGGAGGCACCTAGTAGTGCCCGCCAGCACAGCTTACATTGTTTCCCAGTTAGGCAAAATCTCGTTGTTCCAGGTGAGGACGGCGTTGCCAATACTCTCCTCCAGGCGGCACCGCTCCTCCAGTTGCCTTCTTCTCCGCTGGGCCTCCTTCAGTTCTGCAAACCACGGGGCAAGCAAAGGAGACAGCACCTGTTAACTGGCACCCACCACTCTCCTGCCAGGGGACTTTGCTCAGTCAAGCAGGTGAAACCACCAACAAAACAGCCCCAAAGCAGGGCCATGAAGCTTCCCTCCCAAGACCTGTTTCAGGCCTCATCAAGTTGAGAATGCTCAGGCCTTACCCACCCCTTGGTAACCTTTCAAAGCAGAACGCACACACAGGAGAAGACACTAGTAAGAACACAGTTCAACTCTCACAAGACAGAAACCCATGAAAGTCCCCCTCCAATCAAAAACCAGAACACTGCCAGAGAACGAGACACCCCCCAGGCCCACTGCTGATCCCCTTTCCAACAGAACCTCTAGCCTCGCCTCTAGCAGCCTAGGCACAATTCATAGTGTGTAGGGAGCAACTCTGAGAAATACCATGCATCTTAACCTAAACATATGTGGTTTGGTTTTGGGTTTTTTGTTTTGTTTTTTTACTGTGGTAAAACACCCAACACAAAATGTAGCATTTTCACCATTTTAGGTGTATAATTGGAGGCATTAAGTACGTTCACATGGTTATGCAGCTGTCAGCACCATCCACCTCCAAAACTTTCTCACCTTTTCAGATTGAAGCTCCACACTAACTCTCCCTTCTGTCCTTCCCTCCCGCAATCCCTGGCAGCCACCACTCTACTTTCCATCCAGAATCGACTGTTCTGAAGCTTCCTGTACATAAAATCGTACAGTATGTGTCCTTTAGTGAGTTTATTTCACTAAGCAAATGTCCTCAAGGTTTGTCCACACTGTGGCAGGTATCCAAATGTCTTTCCTGTTTATGGCTGAATTAATGTTCGCTGTGCAGATAGGCCACCTTGTGTTTGTTACGTATGCATTATAAGCATGCTGCCATCTTAGGGTTTTCAAGTCCTGCATGGGATTTTTATCAAATCCAATCACATCTTCTTGTAAATCAGGAAAGTGGAGCCCAGAGAGGGAGGAAGTTTGCTCATCACCACAAGCCAAAGCTTTCTCCAGGCCAGCACTTCTGTCCTACGGGGGTCTCTTTTTTCTTTTTTAATAGGATCTCTTTTCTTCTGTAAAATCAAAGTGTTACTGCCTTGAAGAAAGCTACAGAAATGGACAGGAGAAACACACACTTTTGATGGAAAATTGTAAATTTCAAAATATTAAGGCATTCACCAAAGTTCAGGATCTAGGGCTCCAAAAGGTAAAAAGAATATCTCCAGAAAGATATGAAACCCTGTGCAGTCTTACATAACCAACATGTGCAAATTCCATTACCTCGTTTTTTGGCCTGAACCACCATCTCTTCATACTGCTGCCTGTGTTTCTGGGCTTCTTCAGCAGGCTTCGCTGGGAGATTTCTTAATAGAAAATACAGGATTTTCACCATTATAAATATCAAATAAAGGTGTTTGAAAAACAAAACTTGAAAAATTATTCACTAAAAGAAAAAAGAAAAATTCAAGATCCAAAAAACTGTATCTGTTAAGATGACCAAGACACAGCAATTTCATAAACTAAAAATATTTACTTACGGAAGTAAACAAGCTCATTATAAGAAAAATCTGAAGTACAAAGATTAGTAGAAAGAAAGGAACAACTGCCCATAGTTCCCCTAAATGCTTATTCTTCTGATATTTTTTGCCCCAGTCTCCAGAGCAACTATGAGCTGACTGCAACACACTGACAGTTGTCACAGTTCCTGTGAAGGAGGGACCATAACGGCAAGTGTGGCACATACAGCCAAATGCGCTCCCGGACCAGTTTCTCAAGGGTGCGAGCTTCATAGGAGCTATTGGGTCATCTATTTCTTTTTTTTTATTATTTTAAAGATTTTATTTATTTATTCATGAGAGACACACACAGAGAGAGAGACAGGCAGAGAGAGAAGCAGGTTCCATGCAGGGAGCCCAACGTGGGACTCGATCCCGGGTCTCCAGGATCACACCCCAGGCTGAAGGCGGCGCTAAACCGCTGAGCCACTTGGGCTGCCCTCATCTATTTCTTTTACATTCCAATGTGTATCACAGTTCTGAGAATCCAAATGGGTGTAAAAACTTCGAATCCTGTGTAAAAAACTAAAATGTAGGGACGCCCGGGTGGCTCAGTGGTTGAGCATCTGCCTTTGGCTCAGGGAGTAGTTCTGGGGTCCTGGGATCGAGTCCCACATCAGGCTCCCTTTGAGGATCCGGCTTCTCCCTTTGCCTGTGTCTGTGCCTCTCTCTGTCTCTCATGAATAAATAAATAAATAAATTTTAAAAATTAAAATGTATAGGCTCTCTCAGAAATGTGCTGGTGAATCTGCTGACTCTTGTCAACTGGGTGGCAGCAAGGTCCCACTACTGTGCTCCTCACACAGAGCAGCCTGCATTCTTGCATATTCCCGACTGCCCGCCCTGACTCCCTGCCTTTCTGCCAGAGGCTGTGGCACCTTCTTCCACAGGCCATGTTTCTGACAGCGCTAGGAAGTGGTCCTGATGGGCTCTTTCTGAGTCCCTACTCATCTTTCTAATCCTGCCCTGTAGGGACTCTCTCCTCATCTACCACATGTCCACAATTTCTAAGGAAAAGAGTTAATATCAGAAGAACCATTTCTGGGTGGCTCAGAAAGAGCCCATCAGGACCACTTCCCAGCGCTTCACAGGCAACTCTTGATTTTGGTTCAGGGTTGTGATCTTGGGATCCTAAGATTAAGCCCCACATCATGCTCCATGATTGGCACAGGTCTGCTTGGGATTCTCTCTCTCCCTCCCTCATTCAATAAATAAATAAAATCTTTAAAAAACAAAGGAAAACCCATTTCTTCTTTAGATTTCGTCAGTTTTACATTTCAGGGTGGGCAGGGACCTAAGGGACCACTGTTTTACAATCTCTCTTTCTCTGTCTTTTCAAAGAGCTGTGCGATCTTTCTACCCAAACACAATGTTCTATTTTAAAAAGAGACCAGCTGTGGCTGGTACAGTGGAGTTGTCCCTTTACCTCACTGATGCCTCCAAACATGATCTATAAGCCAGTCATCAGAATTCACCTTGTCCACGGATGGGAACTAGAGGCACAGAGAGAAGTGGGCCTGGTACAATCACTCAGCCTATGTGCCACTGATCCCCAAACAACTGACAGACCAGTCCAGGAACTGTCCTATGATGCTGAGATGCTCCAGCAACACCCGCTTTGCAGGACACTTCCCCAGGTTTCCTGCAGTTACAAGCCAGCCCGTAGTTTATGGTGGCTACCTAAGTATTTTTAAATGCTAAACTAAAATGAAAAACCACCTGAATGGAAAACCTTGGTCAATACTTCTGCGTTACAGGATAGTTTTGCAAATCAGTTCTTTATTATTATAGAACTCATGTTAACATTAGGAACAAAGAGGAACTAAGCATTTTAAGTATGTACTAGGGCTTACTCTTCCTCCTTCTGGTGACTCTAGCTCTTTTCTAACATAAAGGCAATCAGCATATCGTACTTATCTACTAGAGCAAAAATTCGAGAGACTCTAAGACTCACGCTGGTCTGTCTTCCAGGATGAGTGCGGTGGTAGATAGCGGCTCAAAATCAAGATTCTTCCTCACATTCTGCTTTGGAGAGGGTGGCTTGCTAGGTCGTCCAGCCTTGTCTTCATATTCCTGGGACAAAGAAACAAGGGATAACTCTGGGCCTGACCAATTCTGATATTACAAAACCCTTCTGAGTACAAAAAAGCTGTTTAGTAATTAAGTGTTTTAAGTCATTTTTGAGGATTGTGCATGGAATATATTTCCTTTTCAGAAGGAAATATATTTCCAGAAGCACTGCCAACTAAAGGGGTAGTATAGCTCTGCGTGAGGACTACGGCCTTCCCCACTGCTGGGGGTGGGGAGGTCACTGAGGACCAGCATCCCAGCACCCTGTGCTTCCTGTGCTTCTCCTGAGTAAGAGGTATACTTTCTGGCTTCTGGACAATGTCAACTTCTACCCATTATTGCAGGGGCCACTGGGAAGCTCAGAGCCAGAGCAATAGCCAACTCTAGCATTCATCCAACCCACTGGCTTCATCTCATATGCCCACTCCCAACTAAAATTTCAAGCCCATTTCCTTTCATCTCATGGTATCTTAATGTATTTTTGTTAGCCCTTTAAATGGTTTCAGAAAGGAGGAAAGGTTAAAAATTTTTACAGGAGATAATTAAAACTGTTTCTTTATATATGCATATATCTCTTTTTTGTTGAAGTATAGTTGACACAATGTTACCTTGGTTTCAGGTGTACAACATAGGATTCAGCTTCTCTATAGGCTGTGCTCACCCCAAGTGCAGCTGCCACCTGCCACCACACAAACTATTACAGTATCCTTGACTGTGCTCCCTGTGCTCTGCCTTTCACTCTCGTGACTTCCTTATCCCATAACAGGAAGCCTGATGTCTCCCCCTCCCCTTCACCCATTTAATCCATCCGCCCCCCACCCCAACCCCTGGCAACCATCAGTGTGTTCTCTGTATTCACAGGTCTGATTCTGTTTATTCACTAGTTTTATTTCTCACATTCCACATTGAGTTTAATCAGATGGTATTTGTCTTTCTCAGCCTGATTTATTTCACTTAGCTAACACACTCCAGGTCCATCTACGTTGTTGCAAATGTGGTTTCATTTTCTTAAAAGCAGAAACATAAAAAAAATTCTTTAACATCTTTGTATGAAGCCATCACTGCAAGTTGTTACATAAATATTTGTTCCTTGAGCAGCCTCACTATCATTGGGTAACTCATTTGTCCCATGGGCTGTAGCCACAAAAGCTCAGTCACACCTGGTGACCCACATTCCAAACACCCAAGCAGAAGAGTTCAAGAGAGTCCAGCAAGTTGGCACCAAAGAGTCTAGCTTCTGAAACAGCCTGTGTTGTGTGTGTGTGTGTGTGTGTGTGTGTGTGAACGTGCATGTGCACCCTTACCCCTCTGCCAAAAAGAAGAACCAGTATTTTCTTATTGCCCGTTATAGAAGAGGCTTTCTGGACTCCCTTAAGGGAAGACCATCTAATTGGCAAGACATGACAAAGGAATAGTTAACCCAAGGTTTAAATAACCATTCCAAATAACAGAAGCAATATATTTTTTTAAATTTTTATTTATTTATGATAGTCACAGAGAGAGAAAGAGAGAGAGGCAGAGACAGAGGCAGAGGGAGAAGCAGGCTCCATGCACCGGGAGCCCGATGTGGGATTCGATCCCGGGTCTCCAGGATCGCGCCCTGGGCCAAAGGCAGGCGCCAAACCGCTGCGCCACCCAGGGATCCCCAGAAGCAATATCTTGAGTGGAAAGCAATTAATTGCTAAATGAATTAAATTGACACTAGCTGCCAATGGGGGGTGTTACTGGTTTATCTGGCAAGCAATTACTCTCTCATCCAGGGAGCCTATAGAGGCTTCTAAAAAATAGAAAAGCACATTTATTTCCTCAAAATACACAGGCTGTGAATTGGGGTTCATCAAGAAGGTGGTGGGTGGGGTAGTTTCCATGCATCTGGATGTGCCAGATTAGATCCCATCGCTGTTTGCCTTGACTTAAAATGGCTCCACTAAAATACTAAAATGACTTCTACCTACCTAAAACTGAGAAAACAGACTCACTTTTTGACTGACTCACCATCTAAGCATACACTGTTGCAGGCACTCAGCTGTGACTTACCATGGCATCAAGCCACTAGAAGCTTCAAATCTAGCACCTGGATGTCAAAGTCTCCAATTTAATAGACAATCTACCAAAAGCCGTGGGCTGAGAAAGATGCTGAGGCATGTTGCATTTTAACAAGAATGAGTAAGGAATGACCCGTAAGGTCTACTTATCTGCTGACCATGGTCTAGTGAGCTATATGCCAAGGCCAAAGATGACAAGTCCCAAGTTCAACGTCCCAGAATGTGGACACCAATTTCCATTGGCTTTCGTGTGCTTTACACATCCTGTCTCACTCTATCTCTATAACAATCTCTACAGCAAGTCTCACCCCATTCTGTAGACCCGGTAACTGAGGGACAGGGTAAAGTGACATCCGCCCAAATACAGAGGCCACCTTGTCACTCCACACCAGCCCAATCTCTTTGTGAATACACTCAAACAGGTATGCAGTTTTAGAGGGAAAAGGCCTACGTGGGTTAAATGTGGCCTCTAGATGGGCGTGGAGTAAATTCAGATCCACCAAGAACCAGCTGTGACCTCCAGCAAAGCACTTACTTAGAATCCCTGAGCCTCATGTCCCCGTGTGCAGAAAGGGAAGGGAAGCCATACCAACCAGAGAGGACTATCTAAGGAAAAGGGAGAGGTTTGGTGCACAGGAAGTTCTTGATAAAGCATAGCCCTAGTTGCTGAATGTCATTACCCCTAGACCTGAAAGGAGTGTATAAAGGAAAAAAAAAAAAAAAAGAATGAAAGTAAGAAAAAAAAAGAGCTCTAGGGCCAAACAATCAAGGAGCCCTGCAAAGTCTGCAAACAGCCCAGATACAAAGAGGAGTAAAAAAAATTTTTTTGAAGATTTATTCATGAGAGAGAGAGAGAGAATGAGAGAGAGAAAGAGGCAGAGACACAGGCAGAGGGAAGAGCAGACTCCACACAGGGAGCCTGATGTGGGACTCGATCCCGGGACTCCAGGATCACACCCTGGGCAGAAGGCAGGCGCCAACCACTGAGCCACCCAGGGATCCCCCAAGAAGGAGTAAAATTAACCAAATGCACTGATTCATAACCAAAAAAGTATCAGCCCTCTTCAGTTAGCAGTCAGAAGCTCTATGGAGCCAAACACTTTTATGTACGCAAGTCAGCATAACTTCACCTTCCCGCCAACCCTCTGTCCCCATGTCATAGAGGGGAGGGTGCAGGCCCAGAGATGTCAATGACTGGCCCCACAGGAGAACGGAGGAGCTGGGATCAGAAGCCAAGAAGCCAAGAAGCCGGCTCTGCAGCCACACTTGCCAGCACTCCCTAGAATTCATGTGAGCCATTCACAGACGTGATGCAGAAGTATTTCAATCATTCACAGTCTGTCTAAAGACAGCTTTCAACCATGATAGAAACCTGCAATACTGAACTAAGGGCAGATGCAGGGCAAATACTTTTTGTCTTAAGCACAAAGAGCACTGCATGGTTTTAAAAAGAAAGGAAAAAAAAAAAAAGGCAGCCTGCCCTACCCATACTTGAAATCACAGGCCAAGCCTTTCCAGACTCTACACAGTATTTCAGGTATAAATGGTGTTGGAAATGGTTACAGGTCTTGCTCCACATCTAGTTCTTCCAGAGGTTCACACAGAGGCGGTGTCAACAGTTAGTTCATTTTCCCAACGCAACACACTAACATACAGACTGCTCTCTTCTGCTGCCGGACCGCCACTACCACCACCACTGCCACAGGCTGTGTGGCCAGTCCCTGAGAAGGGCCTGTCCCAGTCAGCCCCATCTTGCCACCCAGCCTCCCCACCCAGTTGAGGCTGACATCCAAGGGCAAGAACGAGCAGATAGACACACTGGTCGAGAACGGCCTGACTCCCTCAGGAACCAGTGTGATTCTGAGAGGTCCACAGGGCCTTGGCCAAGTGCCTTCTGTGTCAGGCAAATCAAACCTGGAAAACTCTGAAGCCCAAAGGACTCACCCTGATCTTCCTGAGGAGCTCTACCATTTACTTAAGAAAGCTGTTGCTGTTTGAAACCATCTTGAGAGGAACAGAAAGGACAGGATGCTAAAATTCTGACTCAGTCTGACCCAGGGACATATTTACTGGTTGGCTCAATATTCCTAAGACCAAGTGAATTCCCTCCCCCAAGTTGGAAATTTGAGTCACCCACAGCCTCTGCCCTGGTTGCATAAATTTGTCTATGCACTCAAGCAATAAAATCTTTGTTTAACCGAAAAGAAGGAGAAGGAGGAGGAGGAGGAGGAGGAGGAGGAGGAGGAGAAGTAGTAGTAGTAGTAGTAGTAGTAGTAGTAGTAGTAGTAGTAGTAGAAGATGACGACGACAACACTATTCACTCTAAGGATCTTTTTGGTGCTTGGGGAGGTGAGAGGAGAGGGCAGCAAGTAAAACATCCCTGGAGAAACAACTTTTGGCTATGAATTATCAGCATTAGGGGTGACATTAGAAGCAAAAAGAGTGAGTTCTGAGCCTGGCTTCAACCTGAGGCAAGTCCTCTTGCTCCTCACTTTTGCTTCCTCATCTCTGAAAAGGTATCAATGGTGAAGGCTCCTTGGAGCAGTGAGGGGACGCATGTTCCGTGGCTGCCACTAAAGCGTGAACCCCTACTGTTGGCCAGGCCCAGCCTCCAACCAATTTACCAATACAAAGTTTCTTCTCTTCTTGGGACCTTTATGGGATCAAGTTTTGATGAGCCTGCAGGCTGCTCAGTATAAATCCACCCTTGGAATGGCTGTTACAGAGTCTAAAGCCCTGCCCAGCCCCAGAAGGAATTGAGAAGAGGGTTCTTCAAAGTTCCAGTGATAAATCAGCTTAAGTGGTCATGATGTTTTCTTTAAAATCAACCAAGAGGGTGCCTGGGTGGCTCAGTGATTGAGCGTCTGCCTTTGGCTCAGGTCGTGATCCTGGGGTCCTGGGATTGAGTCCCACATCAGGCTCCCCACAGAGAGGCTGCTTCTCCCTCAGCCTATGTCT